TTAAAGGCTAAAATATTTAAATGAAATTAAATTGGAAACATTTTTAAACTACAGTTATTGTGAATATACGAATGTATTTCTGTTGCACTTCAAGGTATGATACTGTGTCAGACACCCAAAGGACATGAAGAGAAGTCAAACACATACCCATACCTATTTCACAAAGCAAAATATGTATTTCTACTAAGTAGTACATGGAATGCAAACTCAAAGAATTAACTGCTTGAAGAAGATCCAGAAAGTTTCCCTTTGGACAGACATTAAAGGATAAGTACCTGACAAATAAAGACACCTCACAAGGAAGGAAAAGGTATCATTGCAACTGGCAACATCAACAACAGGAAAAGAAAATACTAAGACACAGATTTTGTGAACCTGACTGTGAAAAAAGAGCATCTCCAGCTTTGACATTCTGCTTTATATGCACATACTCTGCTACTTTCAACAAACACTGTCACAAAATATAAAAGGATGAAATCATTTTCTAAAATCCTGCTTTTGTAATGACAAAAATCCAATAAGTTTTCTACATTTTATTGAGAGGAGCATCATGTTGGGCCACATGTGTATTCAGTGTTGTGCAATAATCAATAATATATGCAGCATGCTGACCCTAATTATTAGAGATGTAGCATTGAAGACTAGTGGCACTTCTTAAGTCAAGGAAGTGAACAAAATAGAAAAAAGAAAGTTTCTTAACAAAAGATAAGATTAGTCAAAAAGTTCATTGGAACATGTGATGTAATTTTCCATTATTTGTTTTAGATGAAAGAATAACATTCAGATTTTGATATTTATTCCAATCTTAGTTACTCTTAAAAGAAAATCTAATAAACAAACACATTTTATTCTGTAGTTGAGCTCATTATTTTTACTCTAGTGATCTGTATCTTTCATTTAGCAACCTGCCAACAAATCCTTCACTAATCAACCAATCCCTAAGTGCCTAAAAATACATAACTTCAAAAGGCAAAGTTCCTAATTAGATGAAAATGAGTAAGTTTTCAAACACAACATTTGAATCCAAATAATTACCTAGTCACATATATCTACTTACTTACTTAAATTTTGCTTTCATATTTTATAATTAGCAATAAAACAGCATATGACATCAACAAAGTAATGATATGTACTTAAAGCAAAATGATTAGCTCCCCTAGAGAGCAATTAAAATGTTATTTTATAGTCATTTAAGAAAAAGAATAAAATTTCTCAGAAACAATGCTGTGGTTTTCATTAAATAAATCTGCTAATTATATGCAATTTCAAACTGATAAAGATATATCAAATTGATAGTTGTATACTTTCCTTTTAATCACTAAATTGATGCAAGGGCCTGAGATGTTACAAGTTTTCCCCCAAAGTCTTTGGAAATCTATTTTGAAATTAATGAGTATATGTCTGAGACTCAAATGATTGAAGGCATTAGATAAGGAACACTGGATCAGTCAAGACTAGAACAGCGAACAGCAATTCTTAGAAATATTGGTACCCATCTTAGATTTTGAAAGAATAGAAAGAAAGGAATATTGAGCTTATGAGTAAACATTTCATAAATTGCAGAAAATCAGTTGTAAATTTTGTGTTTGAACTTCTCAAAAATGCCCGGTTGCTCCTCTTCCAGTCCAGCTCTCTGCTGTGGCCCGGGAAGGCAGTGGAGGATGGCCCAAGTGCTTGGGCCCTGCACCCGCATTGGAGACCAGGAGGAAACACCTGGCTCCTGGCTTCAGATCAGCGCAGCATGCTGGCCGTAGCGGCCATTTGGGGGGTGAACCAACGGAAAAGGAAGACCTTTCTCTCTGTCTCTCTCTCTCTCACTGTCTAACTCTGCCTGTCAAAAAAAGAAAATGTATTCCTTTCTACTATGTGAAATTCCTTGATATTTTAAAATATTTTATTACTTTCAGAAAATTTCAGATAATCAGAACAACACCATATATGTAATGTTAATACATGGCATGAATTCTATGTAATGTAGTATAGGACCTGGTGCGGCGCTGCTCCTTAAGCTGCCACTTGTGATGCCAGCATCTCATATCATAGCGCCGGTTCAAGTCTCTGTTATTCCACCTCCAAGACAGCTTCCTGCCAATGCACCTGGGTGACAGCAGAAGACTTGGCTCCTGCCACCCATGTGAGAGGCAACAATAGATTTCCTGGCTCCTGGCTTCAGCCTGAAGCTGATGCTTTGGGGAGTAAACCAGTGGATGGAAGTTCTGCTTCTCTCTGTCTCTCCACCTTGCTCTCTGCAGTTCTGCATTTCAAATAAGTAAGTCTTTAAAAAATTAACTATGCAATATTATCAATTTAAAAATTAAAAATTAGTATGAAAAACATATATAATGTCAAAAACTTTGAGAAGTCTTCAAAAAATAATGGAAATGAAAACCCTATTTATGGATTTTCTGCACAAAAATAATTCTATCTTTTAATTCTATTTCCCACATAGTTGTTGAACTAAGCTTATAACTGTTTAATACGATAGATCCAAAAGAATGCAAGGACAGTTTGCCATTAAGAAATTAATGTCTCGTATATCTGGGTCAAAGGAGCCCCAAAATCAAAATACTTCTAACTATAAAGAAAGTTGACAAAATTCAACATTCTAACTTGATTAAAAGTAAGGAAACAAAATTCACTACTTTACAAACCAAGACTAGAAATATTTTCTAAAACAAAATGTGGAATAACCTCCTCCAATAAATAGTTACTCCTGAAAGGTGAAACGCTGAATCATTTCTCAATAATTAAAGTAAAAAGATAAGTAAGCAGTTAGTATTCAGAATTATTTTAGAAGAACTAAATAACAAGAAATGTGGAGTAGAAATGAAGTAATTATTACAATCCTGAAGAAAAAAGAAAACATAAGTCAAAAAATGTATGACCTAAATATGAAAAGATAATGACTACCAATTATTAACAAAGAGAAAATAAAATTGAAAGAGATATAAAACTATACAATCTAGCAATATATGTAATGAGAAATATTCTGTACTTATATGAAAAAAGCTATGTGACTTTACTAAAACATAATAAAAACAGAAAAACCTATTATAATCCTAGATAGAAAACTGAACATAGTAAGGGCATAATTTTTATCAAAGTAACTTATAATTTAACATAATAGCAATAAAAATATCACCTAAATTCAAATAACCAATTTGAAGTGGTTAAAGTCATCTTGAGGAATCAATGATGGAAACAGCTGAATTGAGTTTTTGAAGAAAGGCAGAAGTAAATGATAGACCTACTCTTATCCATCATTATGATACATAATACAGGTAAAATAAGGTAATGTATATAACTCAGAAATTTAAGAGATTTCGATAGTGATACTACTTTTTTAAGAATATGTTCTGTAATGTATTGGAGTCAAACAGATATTTTGAGATTCAATGATTCTTTACAGCCCTTGTCTCTTCCATTGAGGAACAGTGTTTGTTTGTTTTTTTTCTTTTCCTCCATGCTACTTGTTGAATTCTTTTCTTAGTGTAGGGCTAACTATATAATCATTAAGTAAACTTAAAATAGATCTTTGTAAAAATTAAGAGTAGGAATTTGAGAGGAAGGAGGAGGAAGGGTTGGAATGTAGGCAGGAGGGAAAGTGTGAGGGGGAAGTGTTACTATGTACCTAAATCTGTGTATATGAAATACATGAAACTTGTATAACCTACATAAGATTTTTTTTAAAAAAAGAAAATATGCATTAAAAAGAATCTGTTCAAATCAATAAGAAACACACGAAAATGAGTGGGCAATTAAAAAGATTCAACTAGTTAATGAAACTATGGACAAATGTCTTCAAAGAAACAAAAATTTATTTAATATAGGCTTTTCTCCTATTAATGTTTAGTTTCTTAAAATCCAAATAAATATCTGTAGTTGTACAACTGGCACTTCTTAATTTTTTTCTTGGAGTAAAATCCAAGCCAATTGATAATGAGTCAAGAGTCCTAAAAGTGTTTCTATCTTTTGCTTAAGGATTTCTGCTTTGGGGATTCTGACCTTTCTATAGCTTCCGGTACATACTGTGCCTGACTTTTTCCACCATAGGGCAGCTGTTGAAAAGTAACGATAAGCCACTCAGACATGTTCTATATTATATCCTAGATAAGAGAAAATGATTTGAAGACAAAAATAAAAGCTTAATTTCTGGGAAAAAAAAAAAAAAGCTTTGAGCTCCAAAATACTAATTTTGACTAGATTAGAACATATTGTGTAACTAATTCACACCTCTATCAACAAGACTGGCTATGCACAAGAAAGCAACACCTACGGCACTACTGCATATGATCACATTTTTTGTGCACTGTACAACTTCAGGCCCTAGGGGGAGAAAAAACAGTAAGCTTTTCCACATCCCAACAGCAGAAAGTAAGGGTAAGATGCAGGTTAATCAGCTAAGCTTTTTTTGTTAGATAAGACTCAGTATCTCCCACACCAAACAATCCATGTTGTATGCCTTCTGCTACCTCGGTTTATCCTTATAGTAACCTTAATACTTTTAGTATTAAGCAAGTAGTAATTCCAGTAAAAAGTCAGAGTTTGGGAAAGTTTCTGGCCTGAACAGCTGACACTAAACTTCAAATCTGTGACTGCCATGGGTCTATTATAAAACAAACATATATATTTGGTTTTGAAAACTTTTCCTAATACAAAAAGAATAGATTTCATGTACTTCTTAGATACAGTTCTAAGATGATAACCACACTTCTCTCCTTCTTTCTCTCCCTCAATCCCCCTTTCTTCCTTCCTTCCTCCCTCCTTCCCTCCCTCTCTCCTTTTATATTCCTTTAATTTTTACAATAACATAATTTCAATTTACTTTCTGATTACAGGCTTAATGCACCACTAACCATAATGTACAATAAGTAACTTAGAGCAAAAGCCAGTTTAAAGATTTAAATACATATATTTATTATTTTAAATATATCTTCTATACGTCACAGGAATGCAACTTTCTTTAAAGACACTGATAACTTTACCCCTTTGTGGATTACCTGTGATGGTGCAAAACCAGACATGTGAAAAGCTGAAAATACAAGTGGCACCTCAGCCTTCAAAAGCATTTCAATATAGTGAGTGCTGCAAAAATATATTGGATGGATTCCAGATTCTACAGTTTCAGTAGGTAGGTACTTCTGCAGAAAAAAGAAATCAAGAATTAAATAATTAAAATATAGATAACTGTGAATAATGAAACATCCCCCACTTAACTAAACTCTTTTGCTCCAAAACTGTGCTTCAAAATTAATGTGGTAGCATGACAAAACTGTCCAATTGTGATTACTAAATGTAAATTAAAATCAGAATGTTAAGCATTGTATACAGAAGAAATCTCAATAAAGGCAGTGTTATATATCTTTCCAAGACACAGAAATATACTTTGAAATTTTGATGATTTCAATCATTTTGGAATAATGACAAGCATAGTTGCATTAAATTATAAATGTATGATTGAGTGCATGAGTAATAAATGCTTTATATTTTAATGTTAAATTATTTGAATATGCTTAATATTGTTGGTTTTGGCCAATAATCCATATAATATTAAAAAGCTGTAGCTGTGTCAGCTTTTGAGGAAATTTGTCTAGTCTCTTTTTCTATATTGATTTTTTTTTTTTAAGATTTACTTTTTTATTTGAAAGACAGAGTTACAGAGAGAGGTAGAGCCAGAGAGAAAAAGAGGTCTTCCATTCCGCTGGTTCACTCCCCAAATGACTGCAACAGCCAGAGCTGAGCTGATCCAAAGCCAGAGGCCAGGAACTTTTTCCGGGTCTCTCATGTAGGTGCAGGGGCCCAAGGACTTGGGCCATCTTCGACCGCTTTCCCAGGCCATGGCAGAAAACTGGATGGGAAGTAGAGCAGCCAGGACTTGCTACAGGCTGGGGCTTTAACTCATTGTGCCACTGCGCAAGCCCCTCTATATTGATATTAACCTAGAACTAAAACTGAATTAACAACAATCCAAACTGGAAACTCATCTCTAAAACTGTAGGAAACTAATAATGCATTATCATCATAATTCTCAGGCCAAATATTCTGTCTTTATGTTTTATTTGTATATGTTTATGTGCATCTGCATGTAACTTATGCATGCAAACACACACATGCATGTATTTACAATGTTGGTTTCTCAGCCATTTCATCCTAAATTTGGGTATTTTCTCAATTTAGTTGATAGGTGCAATTTATCCCTGCGAATGATCAGTGTTTTACTGTGTGCTACTTTAAATCCAACATCTACAACAGAATTTGTTTTAAACAAAGAGTAGTAAACTTCAAAATATATTGTGTTAAAAAAGATGATTTAACTAGCAGTTATATTAAAATTTGATAATGAAATTACATCTGGAAGATTTTACATAATTTAGAGAATTTCTAAAAGGCATTTTATTTTCCTACCCTACTGGACAACTCTTATTTTAAAGCTTTTTTAAACAAAATAAATTTAATATTTTAAAGTAAAAGAAGTTAAATTCATACTAATTATATTAGGATTGAATATGAAAAATTTCTTTCAAGCTTTATTGCTAAGCTGCTTTATAGATTCAATCTGAATGATAACTAAAGTTTCTGAAATCATGAAGTCAGCTTATCAATGATTTTCCTGTTTTGTCATTTGTTATCATAACTGATCATTTTTATTTCATATTATAGAACTATATGTCAGTAGGCATATATACAAAATATGGAAATACTAAATGTTTTTATGACAGGTGGACCAAGACACAAATCATAGTACATTTAAAAAACAACAATTCTATGCACTGATGAAGGAATACATAGATATCTCATTAAATGAATATATTATAGACATACATATATATTTCTAGAACAAAAAGCAACTTCCTAGACAGTAATTAAAAATAGTATGGACTGAGTGAGAATCAGTGTCCACTGATACATCTTCTCTAAAATATATGATGTGTTTCACTTACGACTATTTGTTGAAAGAATAAATCCAGTACATATTAATAAAAGAAAAAATCAACATATACATTTATCATAATTTTGATGCAAACTAAGGTAATGCTTTTCTGAATACACATGTAATAGTAGTTAAAATTCTATGTATAAGAAATGATTCTTATATGGTATCTTTTCCATGTTGCATTGGAAACATCTTTAAAAGTAGGCCCATTAATATATAGAGACAATAGATTAATTATATTCTGAAAGAAAACAAGCCATTGTTATGTAATAGAGTCCCAATTTTGAAGCAAAGTTCTTCTGCCCTATAAATTAAACTCTGTGGGAGGACATTCTGTTATAGTTTTTGGTAACCAACACAGTTCCTAAACCTTGCAGAGTAACTGCTCAACATATTACTGATTGATAGTAAAAACACATATAAATAATTTCACCTGGTAAGCTATGGTAAACTTACTTATGATAATAGTTTTATTAGCTGGTATATTAATTGTAATTTCATAGCTTGAATTTGCAGTAAGTGGTGGACCAAAAAATCACTTGATAATGATAGCTCTGAGTCACATGAATATAACAAAAGGTTCTCTGGATTATCAAATATAAATTATGAATAGTGGTTTAGACACAGTTCCCTCAAAGAATAAGTATTACTCAGAATTAAGTAGACACATGCAGGATAAAAACATATGAAAATATATACTATCCAAAGATAAAACTGCAAAAAATCAGTAAAAATATTGTCCTAGGTGATTGCAGAAAGGAACATATTGTGAAGCAAGCACTCTATAATACTCATTAATCTATTTTACTTTATTGATTTAAAATAAAATATATACACTTAGTGTTTTTCTTCTACTACAGAGAGTTCTAATGAGTCATTTCATTTCTAACATTAAGAAAATTCTAGTTCTACATTGTCACGAAGATTGAATTAAAAGGCCCTATAAGACAGACTTGCAACTCTCTAGTACAATATAAATTGATCCAATCTAGTCCAGTTCAGTAATCTATGGGCAGAAAATGGGCCATGCCTTATCAGCAATATTGTAATTTGTAAAGAGGTGAATAGAAAACTTTGAAGATTGTTCAAAATACTGATCCTGTAATTCTAGAAAAAATCAATCTCCTCTCAGGAAAAAAAAAAAAAAAACGAGGAAGCTTTACCCTGGTACTCTTTTTATGGCTGATAGCTCGCATTAGTTACTTTTACTGAGGCTCTAAAAATGGGTTACAAGTATGCCATGCCATGCTAATGTTATAAAATTTAAATCTAAATTTATATTCCAATTCTATTAGAATTTTAACTCTGTAAACATTATGAATTAGGTAAGTATTATTCTATGAGGAATAAGAGAGGGCCCCTTAGTAGCTACCCTGTAGAATAACTACTCCTTGACTCTGATCATATTTAGACAAGCCCATGGTCAAAGTGGAAGTTCTCTCCTCCCTTCAGAGAAAGGTACCTCCTCCTTTGATGACCTGTTCTTTCCACTGGGATCTCACTCGCGGAGATCTTTCATTTAGGTTTTTTTTTTTTTTTATTTCCCCAGAGTGTCTTGGCTTTCCATGCCTGAAAAACTCTCATGGGCTTTTCAGCCGGATCCACATGCCTTAAGGGCTGATTCTGAGGCCAGAGTGCAGTTTAGGACATCTGCCATTCTATGGGTCTGCTGTGTATCTCACTTCCCATGTTGGATCGTTCTCTCCCTTTTTTATTCTATCAGCTAGTATTTGCAGACACTAGTCTTGTTTATGTGATCCCTTTGGTTCTTAGTCCTATCATTATGATCAATTGTGAACAGAAATTGATCACTGGGACTAGTGAGATGGCATTGGTACATGCCACCTTGATGGGATTGAATTGGAATCCCCTGGTATGTTTCTAACTCTACCGTTTGAGGTAAGTCAGCTTGAGCATGTCCCGAATTGCACATCTCTTCCCTCTCTTACATTTAACAGCGATCACTTTTCAGTTGTCTAAATATGATCAGAGTCATATTGACTTCCATAGCCTTGGCAGCTCATGACAAGAGCCTAGGGTGATTACTGATGCCATAAACAAGAGTGTCAATTTGTTAAGTCAACAACAGGAGTCACTGTGCACTTACTCCTCATGTAGGATCTTTGTCCTTAGTGTGCTGTACATTGAGATTTAATGCTATAACTAGTACTCAAACAGTATTTTTCACTTTATGTTTCTGTGTGGGAGCAAACTGTTGAAATCTTTACTTAATGTACGCTAAACTGATCTTCTGTATATAAAGAGAATTGAAAATGAATCTTGATGTGAATGGAAGGGGAGAGGGAGTGGGAAAGGGGAGGGTTGTAGGTGGGAGGGATGTTATGGGGGGGAAGCCATTGTAATCCATAAGATGTACTTTGAAAATTTATAGTCATTAAATAAAAGTTTGAAAGCAAAAAAAAAAAAAAAAAATAACTACTCCTTGACTTTCCAGTTGAACTATACTCCCTGATTTATCAACAAGGGAGTTTTGTTTGTACATACAAAACATTTTACTTTTTATTTTGGAGGTTAATTTACTCATATTTACTGAAGCACTATTCACAATAGCCACAAAATGTAAGCAACCTAAGTGTGTCCATCCATGATGAATGGATAAAGAAATTGTGGTAATATAAACAAAGGAGTACTACTGATGAAATCTTGTCATGTACAACAGCACGGATTGAACAGGGCAACATTATGTAAAGCTAATAGGCCAAGAACAGAAAGACAAGTACCACATAATCTCACTGGTATATGGAATCAAAAAACATGGTGCCATCACAGATGTTAAGAATATAATGATGGGGGCTGGCACTATGGCATAGTGGGTAAAGCCATCGCGTGTAGTGACGGCACCCCATATGGTAACCAGTTCAAGGCCCAGCTGCTCCACTTCAGATCCAGCTCTATGCCATGGCCTGGGGACAGCAGTGGAAGATGGCCACTGCATCTTGGGCCCCTGTGTCTGCATGGGAGACTCAGAAGAAGCTCCTGGCTCCTGGCTTTGGATCGGCTACAGCCATTTCAGTGTTTTGGTGAGTGAACCAGTAGATAGAAGACTGCTTCTGGTTCTCTGTAACTCTGCCTTTCAAATAAATAAATCTTTAGAAAAATAAGAAAAAAAAACCCATAATAGTGGTTTTCAGAGGCTGGGTAGGAAGGGATCTGGGAAGGGTAGGGGAAGGAGGATAAAAGGGTACT